TGTGTCTGGAGTCCAGACTCTGGACTGTCTTACAGTATCTTCTCAACTTTTTAGCAGACGAATGTTTATCCGTTAGCATGTCGGCAGTCCGCTTCAGCTCCCGTACCTGAATGAACCATAATGATCCGTATCATTCAGCGAATGAAGAATGAGGGCAAGAAGAAGTGAGGAGGATACCGCGATTTGGCAGGCGGTTAGAGATGATCTCGCCGATAATCGAACCCGATACCTCCCTCACTCCAAACGCGAACCCCAACCACTAACGCACGAAACTACTTATAATATGGTCATCTATACCTATGATGAACTTATGATGAATCAACTGCTGTTACTCTACTCAATGCTCGAATGTCATATGAATAACTGCCGGCTCTTGCAACCCGAAGGCGGCGATCTGAAAATGATTGAGCAAACTCCCTTCACCGTTGAGGAGGTAGAGCAAGAGAACAAGTATACCCTAGATAGGCCAACAAGGAGGAGACACGGATAAGCATTATCTCATACTGTATCATCAACCCTCAAGGAACCATTCCTGCAATTTCACGTCTGACGATCTAAAACTATATATATTTCACATGAATTTTTGGATAAAATTTGAACTTACACTGGACAAAAAATGCTCAAAAATTTTACAAAATTTTCCCGGAAAAACTCCCAAGGGAATTAGAGCGTTTTTGCATCTCTCTACCTTCATTCACATCAGCCAAGCAATAGCCTATTATAGCCAGATCCAAAAAAGGATCACATCATTGAGCGACAAAACTTCTTGGAAAATTTTAGCATTTTCCGCAAAAAATTCCCGTTTTTCATAAAATTCTGAATATTTACAAAATTTTCCTACGCGTCTTGGAATTTTCCCTCGCGAATTTCATTATAAAAATTCATCTATGATCTAGACCGACATATACTTTTTCGTCAGCAATATCGCAGAATTCCTCAAACACCGCCTAAATCGACCGGTTTCACGCCAGGGACCATCGGATTTTTTCACTCACTTCATTCGGCGTTTTCATCGCATCCACATAGAGCAAACTCGGGGGCATACGACTCGCCGGCGAGGACGGTTCTTCAACGCTCGTAGTGAACTTGAAGTCATCTTTCAAATCTGGCTTCCACCTAAGCCAACAACGACATTCCTCGATCAGCAGCAGCATCATCATCGTAATTCCCAAAATCCCAAACCGAAAACTTCAATGCCCACAATAGCGGAGGCCAATTCAACTCCATAAACACATATTTAAATACCAACAATAAAATTGACCTCATAAGACTACACGACGTAGCAAGATTTTTAATAGTTAGATTTCCCATAGCGAAATTTTCCATAGTTAGATTTCCCATAGCAAAATTTCCCATAGCGAAATTTCCCATAGTTAGATTTGCCATAGTTAGATTTCCCATAGCGAAATTTCCCATAGTTAGATTTCCCATAGCGAAATTTCCCATAGTTAGATTTCCCATAGTTAGATTTCCCATAGTGAGATTTCCCATAGCGAAATTTCCCATAGTGAGATTTGCCAAGATAATGAATGATAGTTAGAATAAGAGAAAAGCCTTACTTCTTTGCCCACGTCTCAAGTTGTATCTCCAATGGTTGGTTCATCCAAAACTGACACTCATGAGGAGTTGAATCTTCATCATCTGGAAGACCGTGGAACTGACCAAAAACGGACCTATTTTGAATCTTACAAGCAGCAACCTAAGATACCCTACATAAATGTGGGGAAATATATGTGTCGGTGACAATATAAAAATTCTGAGAAAATTCTCGGGGAAATTCTCATTGATTTCTTAACACTTCTCCCCTAATTCGAATATAAACTCCCGAGCTCAGCTGAGTAAAGCAAACATATATTCCAGCGCTGCCCTACATAGAGTAAGCCTGGTTTAATGCCAGATTGCTGCAACGCCTTCAACTCAGCCGCTCTTCTTCCCAATTTTTTCCCTCGCATAGGGACCACTCCTATGTAAAAAGCGCTCGCCCATCTGATCGATTTACTCCTCTACCATGCTTCTCCTCTTCGCTCAAGGCAGCTGCAATAGCGTCCGCATGGCGTTCCAAATCAGCTCTCTCGGTTTCGGAAATATCATCATGAACGACGACTTTACGCTGATGATGAGGATCCTCATCTTCATCACTCGAAAAGTCCAGTTGAGGCGAGGAAGGAATAGACGACGCATCATCGTCCACCACCGCATCTGGGTAAAAAATTCCGAGTGCGAAAAATTCACATATATTTTCCAAAAATATTTTCCCCTACATAAACTAGCGTTGAGGAATTGCAAGATTTACCAAGATTTCAAGATGGCGTCCATCCTACCCTCGGCTGCAGCATCATCATGCCCATGAGCTTTCGAAATACTCTTCTTATCATCAGGTTCCTCACTTGCCGAATCTTCCTCTTCCTCATCTTGCTGGTTCTGCCTTTTCTCAACCTTATCCTCGACCGTAGAGGAATCTTCCAGCAAATCTTGCTCATCTTGCATTTCCTCAACGCTAGCCTCCTCACTTGATGCATTCCCTCCATCTTGCTCATCTTGCATTTCCTCAACGCTAGCCTCCTCACTCGATGCATCTTCTCCATCTTGCTTCTCTTGCATTTCCTCAACGCTAGCCTCCTCACTTGATGCATTCCCTCCATCTTGCTCATCTTGCATTTCCTCAACGCTAGCCTCCTCACTTGATGCATTCCCTCCATCTTGCTCATCTTGCATTTCCTCAACGCTAGCCTCCTCACTCGATGCATCTTCTCCATCTTGCTTCTCTTGCATTTCCTCAACGCTAGCCTCCTCACTTGATGCATTTCCTCCATCTTGCTCATCTTGCATTTCCTCAACGCCAGCCTCCCCATCTTCGTCCCCAGCATGCTCCCCTATAGCCTTGCCCTCCGACTCGGGAGTATCTTGCTCATCTTGCTCATCTTGCATTTCCTCAACGCTATCCTCCTCCCCATCCATGGCATGCTCCCCCATCCCCTCGCCCTCCGACTCTGGAGTATCTTCCTCATCCCGAATAGTAGACGAACCCTGCACTCCCTCAACAACTATCTCCTCAATATCCACACAGACACCCTCATCTTGCCCATCTTGCTCATCTTGCATTTCCTCAACGCCCCTAGCCACCTCAGCTCCCTCATCTTCCGACCATAACCCTCCCTTTCCTCCCTCTCCATCTTGCCCATCTTGCTCATCTTGCATTTCCTCAACGCTCCACCTTCGTTTCGTCGCTGCTGTTGTCGGAGGTTCACTCGACACTCTCCTCCTCTTCTTCGCCGCGGGAGTACCTTGGAGTAAAAAATTACAGAAAAAATGCCGCCGCCAGGGATCGAACCCGCGAATCTCTTCTCCTCCACTTTCTCAACTTCCTCGTGTTTCCTTTTCGGTTTTTTGTCACTGCGCCACAAAATTATATCCATAAGTTTACGGAAAAACCCAGCTCGTGGCGGCGTAGTATTTTTCGGCCCTTCAGCTCCAAGAGCCGGAGTGGTATCAATCTGACATAAAACGTATCTTTCACCTAAAGATACCTGCGCACGGCGAAGAAAACAAAGTGGGTAATCGAAAGGTCCGATCCCGGGCACCCTCCCCCACCTCTAAATCGCTCCCTCTTGACTCGGCATATCAGACTCGATAAAATCGATAACCTCCGCACTGAATCAGCAGAGGTGCTGACGTGGGGCTCTTCGGGCGGGGGGAAAGTCTGAAAAAATGAAAATAATTTTTGCAAAAATGTTGCAGAAACTAAGAAAATTCTGAGTTTTTCCCCCAAATATCTACACTATATGGAAAATCACGCGATTTTCAGGCATTTTCCAAATCTACCCGAAAATTTCGTCTCCCAACGCAAATGAGCTGCTCACAATCAAGTTCCCTTTCTAGTCCCAAAAAATCCAAATTCAAATTTCTGGAAAAAAACTAAATTTCTGAAATTCCGAAAAAATTTTTCCGAAAATTTTTTTCACTCACCATTTCAGGTTTTTTATAAGCTACCAACCATGGTGCCATAAAGGCCAGTGGAGCCTTCTTAGAAGTGTATAGTTTCATAGGGGGAAGCTCCCTGTCCTGAGAACGCTCAGTATAGGATGGTGCCGTTGAAGTCGACAATGTCCTCATTTATCAATAGAAATACTATTGGGAAAAAAATCATGCTTCGCTCCGCTAAGAAAAAAACACATCTTTTTTCGAGACAAAAATAGCGGTTATTAAGAATAGTAATTAAAGGCACAATAGTAGCATAAAACTTTCACGCGCCACAAAATTATATGTCAGCTTTCGGCATCACGATGTCAACTTTTCCCGTATCCATCTGGCTCGGCAGAAGACCTCCATTGGGCGTAGACGCACCAGAAGACTGAAAAAAAATAAATTTTCCGGAAAATTTTCCAAAAAATTTCAAAATTTTCCCAATGCAACCTTACCGCCCGCATCAGTTGACGATGGGCTTGCATTCGTGTACTTACGCGCCTGGCAATTGTACGGATTGCCGATCCCGGCATGCTCTCCATCGACGGTGCAGCTCTGAAAAAAAAGAAGAAAAATTTTTTCCGGAAAAAAAAATTACAATTTTTACTCAGGTAGAAGTGGTTGAGCTAAATCCATTGGACTTGCAGACCCTCCCAATGCTCGACGAGACGACGCTGAAGTCCACGAACGGCTATACGTCGGCGACTCGAGAATCTAAGCACCCCGGTTCGATCCCTGGTGACGGCATTTTACTCACTTTTTTCGCCAAAAATTCGAGCTCGTCCACCAAGTCCTCGCCATGGGCCAGCATACATATACGCGCCGATTTTATAACTAGGGGAATAATTTCGTGGCGCGTGACGGAAAATTTCCCACCAGTCAAAAGAAAATTATCGCTCTCTGCACCTTCTGCATCTTGCGTCGGGAAACTCTCAAACGTATCTTCACTCTGACACACAAACCACACAAAATAATTACGAGAAAAAATGCAACATGCCGGGATCGAACCTATGCCCCACCACCCACCTCCTCAACCAAGACACTTTCCTCTGAGGATCGATAAGTCGCTTCTTCCAGACAACCCGAATCGACCTCATCCAGGCTCAACGTCGATAACGATTCCAAATCGCTTTGAATTTTGTGCAAAAATCCTTCGGCATCCCCTGAGATGCCAAAAAAGACCGAAAATACATCAAAAATTTTCCGAAAATTTTCCAAAAAAACAAAATTTTTCACCCACCTCCGGAAACAACTCCCTGACTTTCCATAGTCTCAATAATCGTCTTCTGATGAATCAAAATGAACTGCGCAAGCTGTTTCGAGTGAGCCAATCTCACAGCCCTTTCTCCGCACACACCAAGCCTTCTTCGGAGAAACCTGTGCGATAGTGTGGGAAAATATTCACATGTAAAGGTGATATTTCCGAAAATTTTGAGGAAAAATCAGGAATTTTTCATTGGTTTTCGTACCAAATTTTCATGCGAACTTCTATAATTACTAAGAAAACTTTGATATTCAACACTTGTGCGGGGATCGAACCGGGGTCGTCACCATGAGAGCCACTACTACTCTTTCGCTTCCCGCACTTCATGCTTCGATTCCTCGATGATTAGCCACTCCTCAGCAGTATCAGCCGACGCGGTGTGACCATAGTATCTAAGGTTCCCCATCGTAAGATTCAAATGAGGTCCGATAAATAGCCATAATATTGTTGTCTATATCATAAGCTAGTAATATCTGATATCACATTTTCATGGAATTTCACCACCCTAGTGATATGGGAAACACTAGTAGTGAAAAAAACGTATTTCACAACTACTGCATATCACCGCAAATATCGCCTTTTTCACCGAGTATTACACCACTTCACGTAAAACGGGTAGTCGTGAAACTCCAATATTATCTAGCATATTACTATTGAATCTAATCCTTGTGCTCATATTTTGGAGTTTTACAACCCGTTTTACGCGAAATGTGAAATGCGAAATATATTTCTCCGTAGTGTTTTTCACATCACTAGGGTGATGAAACTCCAATGCTTGGGGTATATAACTAACCGAGATAATCATTTCCATCAACAGCTCTCACCAAAATTACAATCGTCGCCTCCAAAACGAAATTTGAACCAAAAAGTCGATAATTTACGCAAAATTTCCAAAATTTACCAAATTTTTCCCGAAAAAATATCACAAAGCCCACCCACCTCGCAATGCTCTTCTGCGCCCTCACATGAGCAGCCGCAAACGAATCAACAACATAAACCGTCAACTCCGTCCACGACGATGCGAAGTCCGTCGATAATCTAATACGACATAATAAAATTATGGTATGCACGCATGCACAACTTACCGCATTTTCTGTTTTAATCTCCATAACGTCGCTCTCTCCTTAGATTCGAGTCGCCTTCTTAGCTTGTTCCAGTCATTCATCTTCTTTTCTACCTGAAATGATAAAAAAATAATAACAACATTTCCACGTATCAATGGAGTTTCACAACCCGTTTTACGCGTAAAACTCCGTGAAAAAACTAGGCGATATTCGCGGTGATATGCCTATTGCATATCACTAGGGTGATGAAACTCCATTGGGAAAAATATATTTTCGCTTCCCTCAGCAATTTTCTCACTAAGTAAAGGAGTTTATATACAAACTCGAGTACAAAAACCAATTCGAGCTTCCCAAAATTTCCTCGAAATCGTCACCCTGCATATTTTTCCCACTACCGCTACTCGAAAAAAGCACGCTAAAAATTATTTTTCTTCAAATTTTTACAGATAAAAAGTTGACAAAATTTACGTTGTATAAACCATTCGAGTTTCACCACCCTAGTGATATGAAAAAAACACTAGTGAAAAATATATTTCACCACTACTGCATATCACCGCGAATATCGCCGAGTACTACACCACTCAACGTAAAACAGGTGAAACTCCGTTGAATTGAATTTCCTCCGCCAGGATTCGACCCTCCTCGCCCCCTTACATGAAACTGTTTCGCCGTATCGACGCTATAAATCAACAACTGAGCAGCCGTCGAGTTCCTCGGTAGCAGCCCCAAATCCATGAAATCCCAATACCTACCAAAATCACCTTCATCCTAAAAATTTCCCAGAAATTTTTTCCAAATTTTTCGTAATATCACCAACACATGTAGTTGACCATGTGCATATCCCCCTCCCCCTTACTCTGCTTTCACCGCAGACAGCAACGTTTTCCTAATCGACACCACCGTTTCCTCAATCGCGACTTCTTCCAACCGCACGCGAGTGTCAGCACTGGTCATCATCCGCGTATCTTAAATCGATCAACCGTTTCATTTCATACACAAAAATATATATATAAACTCACCCGGTGAGATAAGTCTATGCCCGACGTGAATGTCACTATAAATTCTCCTAATTTCGTGGCGCGGTGACGCATTTCTCTTCGGTGACTCTTCCCCACTGTCACCACCAGCCCTCCTCAACCTCAACGTGCTCACCGCCTCCGACAAAGTCTGCGTTGAGGAAATGCAAGATTTACCAAGATTAGCAAGATCCCACCTTAGGACAGCTCGTCCGAAGCACTTCATCATCGACCAACAGTTCATCGTACCTGCCAGCCATCGGAAGACCCCCGGTTCAATTCTCACAGACCACATTTTTCTCACATTTCCCTCGCCGCCTCGGCAATACTCATATCCACATTTTTCAAGAGGATCTTTTTACTCGTCGTCAATTCTGTGAAACCCAAAATGTTCACCTACGCGGAAATTCAACCGTCACGCGGCACGAAATCTCACCCACCAGTGCGTGAGCTGTAGTAGCGTTGACGAGCAAAGTCAAACAAGCGCAGCCACCGACGATAAACATCAACTCTTCTCGAAGGCGAACGTCCGGAAATGCATCCTCTGATTTAGTTACCATCACCTGATCACAAAAGAAAAAAAATTTTTCAAAATTTTACCGAAAAAAGTTTTTTTTCATTTTTCCCTACGACCAAAAATGCAAATCTTTTCTGCTTACAGCCAAAAAATCAAATTTTACCCAAAAAAATTTTTTTGCGTTTTTTCACGACCAAAAATGCAAAGCTTTTCTGGTTGCAGCCGAAAAATTCAACTTTTCACCCGAAAAAAATTTCTTTTGAATTTTTTTTCACCATAAATTCGAAGCTTTTCTGGTTACAGTCCCATCTAAATTTCACCAGAAAAAAATAATTTCAATTTTTTCCCAATTTCAAAACGTTTCTGCTTACACTCTGGGGAAAATATTTTCTGATTTTTCCCCCAGAATTTCCCCTTACAGCTAACGAGAGAGCAACAGCTCCTCTCAGACCACCCCAGAAGATAACCGTCAAAGACCTCCAATGAACCTTAGGTCCAATCCTCCCCAAAAACGGCCATAATAACAATAGCATCACCCCTCGTGTCACCAACATCACTAAATACCTAAATCAAATACAAACTTTTGCGGAAAAACGAAATATTGTCATTTTTTCCGACCAAAAAACATAATTTTCGAAAAATTTTCTTCATTGATCTTCCATTCCTCCCGTTCCCCTATGAATTCAACATAACACTCACTGCAGTAAAAGCAGCCACTGTTAACGCTACACTGTATAGTGTATACAGGAAAAAATGGTAATTTTCATTTTTTCAACGAAAAAAACTAATTTTTTCCGGAAAGTTTTCACCATTATCTATTCACTCCTACCGTTTCTCCGTCAACTTACATAACCCCGAGTGCAGTAAAGCAAAAAAATTGCTCGAAAATTTTCATTTTTTTCCAACGAAAAAAAATAATTTTTCCGAAAAAATTTCACCATTATCTATTCACTCTTCCTACCGTTTCCCCGTCAACTTACATAACACCGAGTGCAGTAAAACAAGCACTGTTATCCTGAACACTCCGAACCAACGCTCGTCCTAGGAGACCACCACTTATGAAAAACACCAACGTATTGCCAACAAATCTGAAGAGAAAAAAAGGAAAAATTCGTAAAAATATCAGAAAATTTGATGCGAAAAAAGTGAAAAATCCGTGAAAATTCTCAGAAAATTTGATGCGAAAAAAGTGGAAAATCCGTAAAATTCTCAGAAAATTTGATGCGGAAAATATACCATCCTCCTTCACTATCGGTCAAAGTACCACACGTTTCAATTTTTTCGTCGAAATCGACCAAATCAATTTCAGATTTTTTGTTCAAATTCGGCACGAAAATGAAAATTTTCCATTTTTTTCGAAACAGAAAATCCGCTAAAAATAAACTTACCATTTTTACACCAATTATAATATTTCACGAAAGATTTCCCTATATACCAATTTTTCCGAAAATCATAAAAAATTCCCAATTTTTTTTACTACTCTATAGCATTCCACACACTTCTTATAGTCTCTGGTGATACCAACAACGGTTTCATCGATGCCGCCATAGTATACCTAAAAAGGGAATTAGGAAAAAAGTCTTCAAAATTTCAGTCGATCTCATTCCTCATCTTTCCAATTTTCCGAAAAAATTTCCCGGTAAATATTGTTTTACTTAAATTTCATCTTTTTATAAATGAAAAATTCCCCAAAAATCTGAGAACTCTAGTCCGTTTTATACCTAAACACAATCTCCTCAAAAAAATCACAAAATTTACCACAAGTGATCTGAAAACCTCAAATTTTCCCGCAAAATTTGCCGAAAATAGCATAACTCCGCAAATTTTTCACCAAATTTTCCGCTAAATTTACCAAAATTTCCTATTTTTCCTTTTACTACTACCCTGCAAAACTGACCGCCAAAACTCCACTGCTGCTAAAAACCTCATCCGCGATATAGTAAGATCCATACGCAGCAATAATAGTAACACCCAGTTGTATTATACCATCAATTTGTCCTTGATGACCAACACTCCGATTCGCTCGAGAGAGGCAAATTAATGCAACTCCACCGACCACAATTCCAACCAACGGTCCCAGTAGACACATTCTCAACATAAACATGGTTAATCGCATCGCTGTATATTTCGATCCGATTTCAAGATCCGCAAAAAGTGTATAAACTACCATCGCCGTTCCATCGTTAAGTATACTTTCCCCTGATACTTGATTTGTTAACACAGGACTAACGCCCAGATGGTGTAGTAGGGTAACCACCGCGACAGGGTCCGTAGCACTCAGGATCGACCCTAGGCACAGACACGTATAAAGATCCCACGACTTCGACAACCCCAGTCCTGGTGCTATAACATAATACTGAGCTAATCCTATCGCGATTAAACTCAGCAAAACTCCTATTGTTGCCAAAATTAACGCTTGTTTGAAAATTTTCTTCACCAGCTGCGTGTCCAACTCCATACACTCGTTGAATAGTAATACCGGTAAAAACAAAATCAGGAAAAGTTTCGGATCAACACTCAACCACATCGCAGTCGCAGTTCCCATCTGATTCGAGAAAATATTTTTTTCTGCCAAAACCGCGAAAAACAATCCCTCCAAAAATACCACTACTGTGTATGGAAGATTCGGAGCATACCGCGACAAGATCTTCAACGTGAAACAGCCCAACGTGAATGCCACCAGGAAATAAAGTACACCCAAAGGCGACCCCGAATCGTCCAGCATAGATTCAGCATTTTCTTCAGCAGTAGTAGCCGTAGTACTTGACA